AACCACTACGCTACTAGAGCTCCTTAAACTATACATGTACTTCCCTGATTACAAATGAGTTGTGTTCCTAAATATGTCTTTAAATTGTATCTCTACATAAATCAAAACAGTTGGGTAGCTCGTATCTAGCATCAGTTAGTCAAATGTTTGTCTTTTTGTTGTCAAGTCAGTTCCAAGTCATAGTGACCGTGGGTATGGTATAGAGTTTCCTAGGACTGGCAGGTGAGTTTGAACCACTGACATTGAGGATAGCAGTCCAGTGCTTATCCTACAGTGCCATTCCAGGACTTTGAGTTGGTTTTGACTCATAGCAACCCTGTTTAATGTTTCTGAAGAGCAGCTGGGGAGTTTGAACCATCGACCTTGTGGTTCAAACCAACCTTATGATTGAGTGCTTATCCTACAGTGCCATACCAAGACTCCTTTCTAAGCCTAAGAAACATTAAAGGAACACAACTAGATATACTAAACCACTTGCCACTCCTCAGAAAACCTATACAGGGTGCTATGAGTCAGAGCTAACTTCAGTACTTAATAATAACATAATAATAATATAGTTAAAAAAATGTTTCAATTCATGTCACAAAGTAATGCCCATTTGTTATAATGAACCATTGTATGTACTTTGAATTTTTAATATAATAGGCCGTATGGAGGATGGTTTATAACTACATGCAAGTCAGTAACGCAGGGAGTGACTGCATTTTATTTAGGACTTTTGAGTAATCTTTATGAGGTATTGTTGTTGTTGTTAAGTGCCATCAAGTCAGTTCCAACCCATAGCGACCCTGTATAGGGTTTCCAAGGAGCAGCTGGTGAGCTTGAACCACCAACCCTGCAGTTCAAACAGCTTTGCAGTCTGGTGCATTAATCCACAGCGCCACACCAGGACTCCTTATGAGGTATACTGGCTTATAAGTTTCTTTTTTTATAATAAGCTTGTCAGGTTTTGGGTATCAAAGTTAGTTTGACTCTTCAAATAAGTTGGTAACATGATTTTGATTGCTGGACAAGTTTGTGTAAGATTGGTATTGTTTTTTCCCAAAATGTTGGACAATGCACCAGGTAAATGTTTCCCCATTGTTCTCAAATGGTTGACCATTCTATGGGGTGTATACCTCACTAATGGTGTCCCCATTATATGCCAATCTCCATGCTTGGCTGAATTAAGCCATGAGAGTGAGTTCAGTTCCAGACCTGAAGGGTGACCAAGGCCCATAGTCTTGGGGTTCCTTCAGTTTCTTTCTGACCAGTAAGCCTGGTCTTTTTTTGAGTTTTGTTCTACGTTTTCTTCCACTGTGTCCAGGACCTTCTAATGTGATCCCTTTCAGAGCAGTTGATAGTTATGGTTGGGCACCATCTTGTTCTTCTAGTTTCAGAGTCATAGATACTGATTTTCATGTGGTCCATTGAGTTAATTGTTTCCAAGTGTTGTCAGTTGTCATCACTCTTCTTTTCTCTGCACAGGAAGAGACCAGTAGTTGCACCTTAGATGGGCACTCATGAGCTTTTAAGATCCCAATTTATACTCACCAAAGTAGAATATAGAATATTATGTTTGTGCCAATTTGTGTTATGCAAGTTGACCATAGTATCTCCTGTGTTTTCTCAGTTCTTAAACTGGGTGTTAGACTATAATTTTTCAAAAAATTTTCTACTATATACATTTCAAGGTATAAATTTTTCTCTAAGCAACTTTTGATATGTCATATTTTCATTGTCAGTTAGTTCACATTTTCTATTTTTCATTATTTTTGAACCATAGTTTATCTAGAAATGTATTGCTTAATTTCCACACATTTGGAAATTTTCTAATATCTTCTTGTTATTTATAAATTTCTTCTTTCAGGTCAGACAACATCTACATTATTTTAAAAGTTTGTTGAGATCTGATTTATGAACCAGCACATGATCCATTCGGTAAATGGTCCATGTAAACTTTTTTTAAATGCCTGTTTCTGTGATTATTGGTTATATAGTTCTTCTAGGTCAGGATGGCTAATGATGCTGTGTAAATCAATGTCTTCACTAATATTTTGTCTGAAATTTTATATAATGGAAAAAATCATAGAAAAATATAATGTACCTAATGTGACTCAATACAAAGCTTTATTACTATTAGTAATACTATATATAATATAATTAGTAAAAATTTTGGTGCTAGATTATAATCATCTCATAAGAAAAACATCAGTCCCCTCTAAGACTGAACCTTAAAGGGAACACATGAGCAGGCATATAAGCTTGCTGGCGAACACATTGGTCTACTGGTGAGTGGAAGAGGGGAAAAGGCAGCAATGAAGAAATGGGCTAAGTTCAACCATGTTCCATAAACTCCCGTTGACCTGGAGAAGAGAAAGAGCCGGTTGGTCCAAAGTGTGGTGAGACCTGGGAACACCTGAGCCCATGGACAAGGACATAGCCACAGAGGGCTAGAGCTGAGAGTGAAGCATCCATCTGATATGAAGTGAGGGGAGACGCACAAGAACACCCGAACTTTCAGATAGTACCCATCTGACCTAGTCTCGATGGCTTGATAATCAGAACTCGACTAGAGGAAGAAAAAAACCAACAATTTTTGGTATAGGAAACAAGGGTAAATTGCTACAATTTGATGAACTTGACCTATACTCTTGGAGGTAGTAACTCTAAATACCAACAGAGAGGAAAGGAGTCTTCACATCAAGTATCAATGCTATCCCCTCTGTATACAGGGTAGATGAGGACAGGCAACTTAGACATTGGCTACCTAAAATGAGGGGGTAATAAAGGCACAAAGTGACTGGATTACAAGTTTTCGAGAAGGAGTTTAGTTTAAGAGTGTGTGGGGAGGGAGATAGGGTCCCACTAACAACTATTGCCCCAAATTGGAAACTATTAGAAACACTCCCTTTAAAATCAGGAAGTTTTGCCCACTAAAAATAAAAATTTGCCCCCTTTCACATCTATTCAACATTGTGTTAAAAGTCTCCTTTAAGTAAGAAAAAGAAAAGAAATACATAAAGATTGTTGTTGTTAAGTGCCGTCGAGTTGGTGCCAACCCACAGCGACCCTGTATAGGGTTTCTGAGGAGCAACTGGTGAGCTTGAACCACCAATCAACCTTGCAACTCAAACTGACTTTGCAGTCCAGTCAGTGCATTAACCCACAGTGCCATACCAAGACTCCTTATAAGGATTAGAAAGATGAAAATAAAACTGACATTATTTAAAAATTATATTTCTATTTCTACATTTAAAAACTCCCAAAGTACATAAAATTTACAGTAAATAATATAGTTAAGAGTGTTTCCGTGTAAGATTAACACTTAAAAGTAATTGAAATCTCTCATTCTCCAACAGGTTAGTCTGAGCATGTTTCATGGTGAATGATAGAGGCAAAACAGTAAAATAAAAACATTCAAGTGCCATCCTTTGCTTGTGTTATGTCTTCTAATAGCACATTGACCAAAACAAGTCACGTGAGTGATCCTAGAGTCAAAGTGAGAGGATACTACAAAGACAGCAGATACAAGGTGTGACACATTGAGGCTGTTTTACAATCTACCACAAATACCAAGGTCCATTTCAAAAATTTTATAATAAGGATGAATTCTAAAAGTTGACCACTGTCAAAATAGCATCTCTTCCAATTAATGAGAAAACCCTAAACACACACACATACACATTTATAAGGCAGGCAGACACTTCTCGGAATACTAGTCCAGTCTTTAACCCGGAGGTAGGTGGGGTGATGATAATGCTGATGACTAGCCTTCATGAGCTTGCTACGTGCTAAGCCCAGTTCCCAGCATTCTAGCTAGAATAACTCACTTAATTTTTTCAGCAACATTAAATAGGTACTCTTTGTAGTCTTTGTTGTATTGATGAAGAAATAAGGCACAGAGAGAGTAATTTCACAAGTTCACACAGCTTTTAAGTAAGATCTCTACATAAAGTAACCTTAAAAAGTTTCTTATTTTCCATTGAGTTATGACTAGACTCTTTGGCAAGTATTTGAAGGATAAACATTGGACTGCTAACTGTAAGGTCGGTGGTTCAAGCCCACTAGCCACTTCTTGAAATCCCAGTACAGTGTTGCTGTGAGTCAGAACCAACTCAACAGTACTTAACAACAAAATTAAACTGACCTCATCCAATTTAATATTCTGTAACTTCCATTGATACAAGTTATTATTGTTAAGTGCTGTCAAGTTGGTTGCGACTCATAGCGACCCTCTGTAGGGTTTCCAAGAAGTGGCTGGTGGGTTTAAACCACCAACCTTGATGTTCAAACCAACCATGCAATCCAGTGCATTATCCTGCAGTGCCATACCAGGACTCCATGAATGATATTAACATATGTCATTAAAATGAGCATTTCTAATTCTGTTATGTTCCTGTGCTAGGCATTTGAGACTTTAGAGGTATATATAGGCGTAGTGGTTACGAATCGAGCTGTGAACCTTAAGGTCAGCGGTTCGAAACTACCAGCCGCTCTGCGGGAGAAAGATTAGGCTTTCTACTCCCGTAAAGATTTACACCCTCGGAAACCCTGTACAGGGTCGCTATGGGTCGGAACCGACTCGATGGCACTTAACAACAACATAGGCATACCTCAGAGCTATTACGGGTTTAGTTCCAGACCACCACAATAAAGTGAATCTCACAATAAAATGAGTCACAATTTTTTTGGTTTCTCAGTGCATATAAAAGTTATGTTTACAAATATATTATAGTCTACTAAGTATAAAATGTAGCTTTATGTGAAATTTTGAATTATGAGAATTACCAAAATAAGACAAAGAAATATGAAGTAAGCACATGCTGCTAGAAAATGATGTGAATAGACTTGCTCGATGTAGAGTTGCCTTAAACTTTCAATTTGTTAAAAAAAAAAAAAAAGAAATGCAGTATGTGCTAAGCACAATATAACAACGTGCAATAAAACAAGGTATGCCTGTATATTTTCTATGTATTATGAGCTGTCCAGCTGTACCCAGTTGCTGCTTTGTTCAACAGGTGGGTTTTCAGAAAAGTCATATGAGTGGAGCTCAGAAGAGGAAGAACCAGTGAAAAAGGCAGGACCAGTACAAGTCCTTATTGTCAAAGATGACCACTCCTTTGAGTTAGATGAAACTGCATTAAATCGGATCCTCCTCTCAGAGGCTGTCAGGGACAAAGAGGTTGTTGCTGTATCTGTTGCTGGCGCTTTTCGAAAAGGAAAATCATTTCTGATGGACTTCATGTTGAGGTACATGTACAACCAGGTATGTAGAGGTGTATTTAAAAAGATTTCTGTTGTTTTCTGTGCTTCTGCCACTTTCTTTTTATTTAGTAGTGTTCAATAGTTCTATTTTCATTACTATGTACCCTAAATATGAGTAGACATCAGTTTAAAAAATGCAGTTTTACAGTATTAATGTTAATATCTCCTACCTCTAGCTTCAGGTCAAACAAATTTATCCATTTCAAGCTCAGTGTTTTGGGCACCAAACTAGAGAGACCACTTTTCTCTCATGTCACTTTGCTGCATTTCCCTTAGAACATAACTTATTTGTTCACTCTTGTCAAAATAGACATAGCATATTGATATAATACGAACTTTACATGTTGCAATATTTAAAATGTCAAATAGCTACTGTTATGAGTTTTTATTGTAATCATTTTTCAACATTTTATTATAAAAATTCTCAACATATGGCAGTGGTAAAAGAATTTTACAGTGAATATTTGGGTATCCAAAATCTTGAATTTTACCATGAATAGTCTTCCTTTATCACATATATCACCATCTAGTCATACACACACACACACACACACACACACGTATTGTGGTTGTTGTTAAGTGCCGTCGAGTTGTTTCTGACTCATAGCGACCCTGTGTAGGGTTTCCAAGGAGCGGTTGGTGAGCTTGAACTGCTGACCTTACAGTTCAAAGCAACTTTGCAGTCCAGTGAATTAACCCACAGTGCTACACACACTCACACTACAACTGGTAGGTTTAAACTGCCAAACTTGTGGTTCATAGTCCAGTGCTATACACATGCATGTATATATGCATATATATATATACATTCATGGCATAGCTCTATAGGATAAGCACTGGACTACAAATAATAAAGTCAGCAGTTCAAACCCACTAGCTGCTCCTTGAAAACCCTACACAGGGTTACTAAGAGTTGGAATCGACTCAATGGCACTTAACAACAACAACAATACATACACACACAACACACACACACACACACATATATATATCTGGGAGTGCAGTGGCTCCATATAATAAACACTGGACTGTAATCCACAGAATCTGTGGTTTGAGCTTACCAGCTGCTCCATGGGAGAAAGATAGGGCTTTCTGCTCCCTCAAAGATTAAAAGCCTCAGAAACCCTCAATCATTATGAGTCAGAAACAACTTGTCAGGACTTAACAACATCTCTTATTTGTAAGTGTTTAGTTTTTTCTTTTGAGGTAAATTTGACAAACAATGAAATGCAAATATCTTAAGTGTTATTGTTGTTGTTAAGTGCTGGTGGAGTGGGTTCCGACTCATAGCGACCCTGCACAGGGTTTCCGAGGCTGTAAATCTTTACAGGAGCAGAATGCCTCATCTTTCTGCCGCGGAACCGCTGGTAGTTTCGAACTACTAACCTTGCGGTTCACAGCCCGATTCGTAACCACTACGCTACCAGAGTGTACATCCATATAATTTTGACAAATTCATATACCTTTGTAGTTCAAACCCTTAGTAATACATAGAACGTACCATTACCCTGGTCAGTCCTTCCCCTTACCTCACTCCCAGAAGCAGTTAACAGTGTCGTATTATCTGAGGCAACAGAAATGAGAAACAGAAATGAGACTTTAAGCACTATGTTGTTGTTGTTGTTAAGTGCTGTCGAGTCGGTTCCGACCCATAGCGACCCTGTACAGGGTTTCCGAGGGTGTAAATCTTTACAGGAGTAGAAAGCCTCATCTTTCTCCTACGGAGCGGCTGGTAGTTTCGAACCGCTGACCTTAAGGTTCGTAACCACTACGCTACCAGAGCTCCTTTAGGATAAACCAAAAGCAGAAGGATAAATAGGAGATAAGAGTTAGGGAACAGAAGGTTGGGAATGGAGAGCACACTAGTATATTTTCTCTGCTTTTATCCATTGCAGTTCTAATGCAAATAATAGATTTTGAGGAAGAATAGACACACTCCCCAAAGAAACTTTGTATTATGTGTTTATACTTTGTGTATCTTGGATGGCTCTTTCACAGATGAGGTATTTTTGAGCAATTTTACAATGTTAACTTTACCATCTTCCTTCTATAGCTTCAGTTCAAATAAATCAAGAGTAGAATTACCAAGATAATTTCAAGCTTGAAAGCAATTAAAAGTCATCATTTTCTATTTCTAACATAAAGCATTAGTGCGCTACTTAAGACAGGTGGGGAAAATTGATAAGCAAATTAATATACCTTCCATTTTCTGGATTTATAATTTTAGGCATGTTCATAGTTTTAATTTATATAAACATTAAGATGAAGTATTCAATAATACTTGTGATGTTGTCTGTGGTAAATAACATTTGCTTAGATTCAAGTGTACCATATTTGTTTTGTTTTTGTTTTTATCACCTAGTATAGCATTCAGGAAATAGGAGAAAACATGAATATTTGTGTAGCTGTTCCTTGCATAAGGGCATGTATTGCTGATTTTATTTATACCAAATACTACTTTCATTTCTGTGTATGTACTTGTTGTTCATTTGTTAGAACTGCAAAATCAGATTTTAAATTTGACAATCTATGTTCGTTACAGTTTACCCTAAAAGTTTACTCTGTACCTGTCATGGCACGTAGAACATTCTCGTTTAGTGCTGTCAAGTTGGTTATGACTCATAGCAACTCTGTATAGGATTTCCAAGGAGCAGCTGGTTTGTTTGAACCACCAACCTTGCAGTTAGCACTCCAGTGCTTATCCTAAAGCTCCACACTAGGTCTCATAGTAATCAATAAATAATTTGTGAGTAAATGGATAAAGCATGCTTGAGTTATTGAAAAAAGATAAATTTCAGATCTACCAAAATAACTATAGGGCCCTGGTGGGGCAGTGGTTAAAGCATTTGACTACTAACCAAAGGGTTGGTGGTTTGAACCCTCCAGCCTTTCGATGGAAGAAAAATGTGACAGTCTGGACAGTCTGCTTCCATTAAGATTTACCACTTTTGAAGTCATATGGAACAATTCTACTTTGCCTTTATGGTCACTCTGAGTTGGAATTGATTTGAAGGCAACAGGTTTAGTTTTAAAGTAACTCTTCATGGATGCCTTCCTTGTCTTTCAGATCATTTCTCAGGCTTAGAGTTTTATAAGTATCTCAGATAGATCATTGACTTGAGTTGATGCTATAATGATACTAATTCCTAATCATCGCCATGTATTCATTAAAGTATATGCCCTAAGACTCTTTTCCAGGAAAAACTTTATTAGGCTAATTTTAACTGTAACATTAATTACTAAGTATTTATTGAATATCTTCTACATGTCCTGTTATGCTGCACTGTGGCAGATTCCAAAGGAGACAGATTCTGCAGTTAGGCATCTTACGATCTGGCTAAGGAGACAGAACTAAGGTATATGAAATATTCAGATCACCGTTAAGTGCTAATCCCTGTGTTTCTGAACATAGATAACATTGGAAGTTCAGAGAAGGTTACTGAGAAGTTAACAGCAATATGTATACCAAACCAAACCCATGGCCATCTAGTGGATTTCAACTCATAGTGACACTATGTAGAGTGTTCAAGGCTGGGAATCTTTACAAGAGCAAAAAAACTCATCTTTCTTCCATGGAACAACTGGTAGGTTTGAACTGCCAACCTTGTGGTTCGCAGTCCAGTGCTTATCCGACAGAGCTACCAGGACGCCTTGAACAATATGTATGTTGTTGTTGTTGTTAAGTGCTGTCGAGTCGATTCCCACCCATAGTGTTTCAAACTTTGAAACCTGTATAGGGTTTCAAAGGAGCAGCTGTTGAGCTTGAATCACCAACCTTGCAGTTCAAACGACTTTGCAGTCTAATGCATTAGCCCACAGGGCCACACCAGGACTCCAAACAATTTGTATAGAAATGGTTAAATGGGAACCAAATTGTAAACTTTCACCGAAATCCCAATGAAATATTGAAGAAAAGAAAAAAAAGAAGAAGAAGAAGAAGCAGCTGAGGGAAGGAATATATGTGTATTGGTAAGAGTTATCAGGGAAAATTTCATAGAGACTCTAGGATACAGGAGGATTTTGAAGATATGTAAGATTTACAACAGGAGAAGGAGGAAGAGGGATATTCTAGGTTAAGAGGAATATGGAAAAAGGCATAATAGTTGGAAAGAGTATGATATATGTATTAAGCAGATAGTACATCTTCTTTCCTGGAGTAAAAATTATGTGCTGATGATGAGGAAATAAGATTGACTAATTAGGTGTGAGATAATAGAGCCAGTTTATGAGATAGCAAAACTGAGTTTTGTGTAAGGGCCTAAAGTGCTTTATAAAAAAGACAGAATACATAGCTAAATAAAACATCTTCTATACTAGTTTGGAGGTGTTGCTAAGCATCTTTAAGTTGATTCCAACCCATAATAACCCTGCATAGCGTCTCCAAGCAGCAGCCAATGGGTTTGAGATGTCAACCTTGTGGTTAGCAGTCTAGTGCTTATCCAAAAGCACCATACCAGAATTCCTATACTAGTCTATATGTTGTTGTTGTTAAGTACTGTCGAGTAGCTTCTGACTCACAGTGACCCTGTATAGGATTTCCAAGGAGCAGCTGCTAAGGTTGAACCGCCAACCTTGCAGTTCAAACTGACCTTGAGGTTGAATGCTTATCCTATGGCACTCCACCAGGTCTGTATAGACTTTGTTTATCCAGTCTATTCCCAAATTCCTCTGAATTGACTTTTATATTTTGGTCTATATGAGGTTTTAGATTTGAGGATTATCCAGTGAAGCCTTCCAAACTTATTCTCTCCACCAAATTTCAAAATAAGTGTAACTGTTATTAACCAGGACTGCTGGTGTGGAGGATCAATACAGGATTTTGAACCACAAGTTCTGCAGTTAAAACCCACCAGCCACTCCTTGGAAACCCTATACAGGGTACAATGAGTCTGAATCGACTTGGTGGCACATAACAACAATACTATTAACCAAGGTCACTGTGACCCAGGTACTAAAGTTCCAATCCTTATCTTATTTGATTTTTTTTCTAGTTTATTTACAGTTGACCATTACTGCTATTATTTCTTCCTTTATCTCCCCAAATTCCACTTGTATCAGTATCCCTCTCTCCTTCCCTAACCTGGCCCTGGTTTAGATCCTTAATCATGTTTTTGACCTTCGTAACAGCCCCTTTCTTGCTCTTCCTAGCTATTATCCTCCTTTTCTACTATCTATCCTTTTGTTGCTGGATATCCAGAAGGATCTTTTTAAATCTCAATGATGTGTCAAGCCCACCAGCCACTTCATAAGAAAAAGATGGGACTTTCTGTTCCTGCAACAATTTCAAGCCTCACAAACCCTGTACAGGGTCACTGTGAGTTGGACGGGACTACACAATGCTTAACAGGAACAACAATGAGGATATTCTATCTCTGTTTCTTCATAACTCCCAGTGCCTGTAGGATAAAGTCTAACTCCCTTTCTGAATCTATCCAGTGTTTCCTCCTGCTTTTCACCCCAGCCCCCATCTTGATTAAACAATACCAAAACATTTGAGTGTGTCATGACAAAATGTGTGTTTTCATACTTTGATTTCTTTCTTTCTGGAATGCCCTCCCTCAGTTTGCTCACCTGAAAAATTCCGAAACATCCATCAAGTCTTAGCTCAAACACCTCCTCTCCTATGACGTCCTACCTGACCAAGAGTTAGGTATTTCCTTTCTTATGTTTCCAATTATGCCTTACATACACTCTTATTTTGATTCACATATGTTGCTTTATAATGGCCTATTAGCATGTCTGTCTCCCCGTGAGACTGTGAGTTTCCTCTAGTCTGGATATAAAGAGCTTCATCTTTATCGCCCAGGGCCTAACACAAAGTGTGGCAGATGGTTGCTCTTCTGTAATTAGTTTTTGGATGAATAAATCAAGTGTTTGTGTCAGTGCAAAAGATGTGCATATGTTGTTTCCTTTTGACTAGAGTGGGAGCAGGATGAGAATTGGAATGGGTGAATGGCAAAATTATACACACATATCTAGTTCCACATCATAGACTGTATTAATTTAATAATTCAGTAAATTATTACAGGAATCAATTGATTGGGTTGGAGATTACAATGAACCATTGACCGGTTTTTCATGGCGAGGTGGGTCTGAACGAGAGACCACGGGCATCCAGATATGGAGTGAAGTCTTCCTTATTAATAAGCCTGATGGTAAAAAGGTATGATGCTAACTTCTTAAATGAAATTAAGTTTTCACTTGCAATGATTGCCATTTTCTCAAGACTCTTGTAAATGCTCCTTAAAACCTCTTCTAGTAACAAGGCTAAAATTGTGACAACATAGAACAGTAGATCAGTAAGCTAGTGTCTATAGTTTGTTTCTGTTATGTTGGATTGCTGGTGAAAACTAATCATTACAGAAATCAGCAGCTGATTAGTAATTTGATTTTTTGTGACACTTATGGCACACATAAGAAATTATTAAGTGTTCAAGCTATAACAAATAGTTTGTTTTAGTCCTTATGGCACTATCCTGTGGTAATCTTAATGCCTTGTCTGTCAATAATATACTTTACTTGCCTGTAGATTGCAGTGTTACTGATGGATACTCAGGGAACCTTTGACAGTCAGTCAACTTTGAGAGATTCGGCCACAGTGTTTGCCCTTAGCACAATGATCAGCTCAATACAGGTATGGAATAAAAAAATTCATTTTGATGAATTTTTTTAAAGATAAAAATTATAACTATGTGTGTTTCATGTGATAATTGGGACAAACAACAAACATGGTAAATCATATATATTATTGATGACTCAATTGGCATGATCGTTCTTGCAGTTTCTGTACGAGTAGCATTTTTCCTGTTACTATAATCTAATTATTGATCAGCTTTCAAATTACTTACTTTAGTTAGAAAGTTATATTGTCTTACCGATGATATTTTTTCTGTTCAAGGCCTACAATAAACTTAATTATATTAAATCTTATATGCAAATATCATTAGTAATACTTGTTATGTTGCCTTTGTTGTTTTTTACTGTCAAGTTGGTTCCGACGTACAGCAACCCTGTATTGGGTTTCTGAGGAGTGGCCAGTGGATTTGAACTGCTGACCTTGTGGTTAGCAGTCCAGTACTGGATCCTATAGTGCCATACCAGGATTCCTTACCTGTTTTTATTATTTGTTAAATGCCGACAAGTTGGTTCCGACGCATAGCAACCTAGTAAGGGGTTTTCAAAGAGTGGCTGGTGAGTTTGAGCCACTGACCCTTACAGTTGAGTAGTTATCCTACAGCGCCACACCAGGACTCCTTACCGATTATAAATTATGCTTAATGAAGTACGATTTATAAATAAAAGTTTGCTCTACAGTGCCAGTAGAAAATTTCTAAATGTAAAAACACTTAGGTATGTTCATAGTGTTTTGAAACATTTTAGTATGTATGACGCGGCTTCAAACTGTTTGTGGGAAAATGGAATTAAAAGATAATGGAAGCTTTCCTAGTACTTCTTGAAGCCAACTCATTTTAGAGAAAATAAATATTTTTATGTAATTTTTAAAATCTTCCTTTTCTTTTTTGCTTCTCAGCCATTTTGTAAGTGTTGTTTTTGAGGTTATTGTAGCCTTTCAAAATTGTCCTGAAAGACCCTAGAGACTTTTACTATAAGCACAGAATACATAGCATAGAAGACTTTAAGGCCATTTTTATATATTTTCTCTTCAATGGAGAGAACACACAGCAGATCCATATGAAAGATAAGGGAGCTTCAAAGACATCTAAAGCATGGTGCTGGTACGCTGTGTTCTAGGATGAGCGCTAGACTGCTAACCACAAGGTTGATGGTTCCAACTCTCCTCAAAACCCCTATACACAATCAACGATGAGTCGGAAAAGACTCAGTGGCACTTAACAACAACAATAAAGCAAAGTCAGGATGGAAGACCAGGGTGAAATTATGAAATGGAGATAAGCAAATAGAGATTAGAGCTATTGAACCAGTAATGAGGGCATCATAGGCTTCAGAGTCATAGGACAGAGGAGAAAAGAAAGACTGATTTTTTTTTTCTAAAGGACTTATACTAAAGTATAAGTCATGGTTGGTTATAACCTATGATTCACTAACCTTTAAAAACTATCCTTCTTTAAAAACAACAACAAAAATTATCCTTCTTAAGTGAATGATCCTTTTGAATACGGACTTAGTATCTAATTTGTTTATAATCAATAGGACAAGGCCCGTATGCATGATAATTAAACCAGATAGACTTTGCCTGTAAAACATTTATTATTTTTTATATTTGATCTAAAGTCATTGAATATTTTCATTGAAAATTTAAGTCCCTAGTAATGAGCTATGGTAGTGTAGTGGTTATGAATCAGGCTGTTAACCTCAGGGTCAGCAGTTCGAAACTACCAGCTGTTCCGCGGGAGAAAGAGGAGGCTTTCTGCTCCCGTAAAGACTTACAGCCTCGGAAACCCTGTACAGGGTTGCTATGAGTCGGAACCGACTCCATGGCACATAACAACAATAACAGTAATGATTTTTATTATATGAGAAATAATTTATTTAAATAAGTATGCTGTTTATTCACTATGTAAACATAAATGCATCCTTCACTTTTCTTTGAATTTACCAATATTTATCCCTCTCAAAAACCAATGTCACTTTTATGATGTAATCTCATAAAGCAATAACACATATATGTAAGGATGTAAACATAAAAGTCAAAACACAACTTCCATTATTAGGAAACATTCTGTAAACTAAAAACCAAACCCACTGCTATCGCGTCAACTCTGACTCACAGTGAGCCTTTAGAACAGAGACCTGCAGCTATCCATAGGATTCCCAAAGCTGTAAATCTTCCACTGAAACAGAGTGCCACAGTCTCCTGCAGGTTCAAACTACTGACCTGTTGGTTAGCAGATGAGCACTTTAACCAGTGTATCACTAGAGCTCCTTGGAACATTCTCCAGACATTAATAATTGATTGTGAAACAGTCAACTTAACTTTTCAAAACAAAACTTTTCATGTGAGTTGTTCATGTTTTCATTTTGGTATGCCTGGAAGAATGGTCATTTTATTGACAAATTGTTAAATTAGGTTGATACAATAATTTTAATATTCTGTCTCCAGAGTTGGGAGTTATTATGTGTCTGGAACATTTTTTGATCATTAAATTTTTTTGAACATTTATAAAATCCTCTGCCAGGATCTTATAAATAGCATTACATAAGAATGCATGTAAGGTTTTGATTTTGTGGTAATAGTTAGAAAAATTGTTGTTGTTGTTAAGTGTCGTAGAGTTGGTTCCGACCCATAGCGACCCTGAACAGAGTTGCCGAGGCTGTAAATCTTTACGGGAGTAGAAAGCCTCATCTTTCTCACACAGAGCAGCTGGTAGTTTCGAACTGCTGACCTTGTGGTTCGCAGCCCGATTTGTAACCACTACGCTACCAGAGCTCCTTATTTAGAAAAATAGAGAATGACAAAATAAGTGCCTAGAATGATGTTACCTATTTCCTCATTTTGATTTTCTTTCTTAATTAAGGTGTATAACTTGTCACAGAATGTCCAGGAGGATGATCTCCAGCACCTCCAGGTAATGGTGTTTACATTGATATTCTTTTTCTGTTTATCTGGTAATTTTGGAGGCACATATATCAGAGTTTCGGAGTTTTGTTGTGCCATCTTCTACTCTGAGAACCCTAACAATTCAGAAAACACCTCTAACAAGAAGGCCTGTCCTATTTCCAGACTTTGTGTTCTGACCTTGTATGGATATGTTCTTTCTCATTCAGTTTTCAAATTCCTTTGCTTCTTTAAACCTGTTTGCTACCAACGCTGTGAATGTGAAAATATGTGACAAATTAGAATGCAGAAAAAAATGTATGGTTAAAAAATGACCCAAAATATGACTTTGAAGACTTACTACCAGGGATATAATAATTGCTAGTGTGATATTAATCATCTGTTAATAATGGTACCATGTCAGATTTTTTCCCCCTGTGGATCACTTTATAGTTATAAACCATGAGATATCTCATAGAATTCTACGTTAGCTCTCAGAGGCCACATCATTGTTTCTTTACATTTATAGATGAGCAAACTAAGGCAGAAAGAAATAAATGACATGGCAAAACTCCTACAGCTAGTTAATGATAGTATGGTGACAAAAACCTGGGTCATCTGACTGGGCTCAGTGCTTCTTCCACTCTCCACGCATCATTTAAAGAAGTAAAGGATTCAATATTTTGTATAGATCACATCTCTATAACAATCTTTGCTCTCTTTCAATTTATGTTATTCTTGGTTACTTTGTAAAACTTATTAATTCTATGATAGTTTATTTCCATATATTTTATAGAAAATTTTACTCACAATATGTTATTTTCTTGTAATCAGCAAATCTTGACATGTAGCAAAATGTGCAAGTCTAACAGATAACAGCGAATAACGGAGCAGGATAAGGGTTGGGTAGTAATCTGTGACTTGGGATTTATATTGAGCATTGTTCTTCATTATATTTCCAAGGTGTTATACTCATCATTTATGACAAGTAGACATTATACTGAATACTTAAACATTTCTCATAATAAGGACTAATGGCATAACACTATTTTGATACCAATCTAGGGGTTTCCATAAAAGGGCAAATTTATGAACTTTAATATTAAACCATCTTTTTTTGAGATCATTTAAAAAAATTGTCCTGTAAATGACAACACCTTAACTTTCCTTCAGAAAAGATTATGAATTCAAGTTATGTTACAAAATGACCCTAATGGGAATGTCTCTCTATTCCCAGGACTAGATGGATTTTAAACATGCTGTTCAGGTTTTTCATTTTGTCACTCTGATCAGATGATTAGTAATGAGTCTTACTATTTTCCATCTAAACTCCCATAATTCCTATCAGAGTGGAGATGTGGCTATGTGGGAGTATCCTAAATGAGCAAAGTGTGTTAATCCTCTTGCCAGTGTTCTTCCCCAGTTCTGAACTGTAACACTGAGGGTTGTTACTCTGGTGGCATTTCCTGTGGACAGATAAGGAAACCCACTTGACCAGTCTGGGTAAAACTTTTCAGCAGAAGCCAGTCACTCTCTCAGGTTTATGTTCTCTAAAACCTTACATTTCTGGCACTATAAAAACTCAAATCATGATGCCTTGTGATGTCAGTTAGGAGCAATAAAAAGTAAGAGAAGGCAGTGTATTGGATTTTCCACTTTTTAAGCCAAATGCCTATATGTTTTTGTAATTACCCAGGTCACCATGTCATTAAATGTTTTCAGGAAACGTTTATAAAATGTATCTTACATAATTTATGGATTTCTAGTCTAATCAATGCCAGTTCTGATTTGAAAGGTCATTTAGCATGTTCTTCCTTCTTACTCACTTCCCCAAGAAAAATGTGTCCCATGTTCTAGATATAAAAAGTATTACCTTTAAAATAGAACTTAATTTTTTAAAAATGTACTTTGTCTTTAACTTTTTAAATATCTTAATTACAATAGCTCTGCTATATCTGTACAATAATTACTTCCTTAAAGTGGTTGTTGTAATCTTAATAATATAGTATTCTGTTTCAGCTAGGGGGAAAAATGAACAGAAGAAAGCCAAGAAGTAAAACTTTGAAGATACTGAAGTTTTCTTTTTGTTGTTTTTGTTGTTGTATATGTGTGTGTATGTGTGGGTATGATTTGCCTTCTAGCTTTTCACTGAGTATGGCAGACTGGCAATGGAGGAAACATTCCTGAAGCCATTTCAAGTGAGTAGGGTTAAAATGATTGGAACTTTTTGTTAGATTTTCCTGAACACTATAACCAGGCATACTTGTATTAATTAGTTGAGAGAGCCATATTTCTTTCTCTTTTTCTTTATTTTATTCAATTTCCATTATTGAATACTTATTTGATGAAAGGAGGACATAGAAATAGGAAAATGAAAAGACAATAAGACATTTTGGTGCCTGTGAAAGTTATCAGCTTTCCTTCCTGAACTCAATCCTGGAGTTCTCATAGAGTCCAGAAGAAAACTGACATATTTGTCAGACATAAAAGCTAAAAACAATCAACCAGACAAGACTTCTGGGAAAATAGAAAGTGATTGCTAGTCACAGCAAAAGTCAGGTGAGTTCCAGAGACAGGATATTGGGTGAAGTAGAGCTTTACAGTGGTGCCATTTTCTCTTACACATTGACTTGCATGTACTTCTCTACTGCTGTAGAGCGTCGGAAACACTTCAACCAGCTCAGTTCCTGCTGGGGGCAGCCAAAGAACATCAGGGCACCATCTAAACTGGGACTGAGTCATTTAAATAGCCCATCTGGTCCTTAATGCTCCCTTCTGCCCCTACCCTTCTTTATCTTCCATGGATAAGAAAATTATAGCTAAGTCAAAAAGCCCTTTACAATAGTACCTTAAACAGATTGAAACACCTCAAACAAATTTAAACACCAAAGACTGACCACCTGAGGCATGATTCCCACTGCCTAAGCTTATCAGTGGGTGCTCAAGAAAGGCCCTTGAATTTGCTCCTCCTCTTAGGTATATTGCTGACTGCAGGGTTGGCAATTAATATCCACAAGCTGCTCCTCAGAACCCTTATTACAGGGTCACTATGAGTCGGAACCAACTCAGTGACACCTAACAACAACCCAAGTATGTATCAACAGCTAAGTTGGCTCATTCCCCTAGCACAATGTGAGTTTACAGGAAAACTTAATTTTTGCAGAACACTTAATAAAGGACAAAATATAATCAATGGATTAGGAAATACGTAATAACACTGGACCACAAGGTCAGTTTGAACCACCAGCCGCTCCTCAGAAACCCTATGTAGGGCCCTGTGAGTTAGAACCAACTCCATGGCACTTAACAACAATAATCATGATGAACACCTGGTGTGGTGCTGTAGGCTAAGCACTGGGCTAGAAGCCACAAGATCAAGACCACCAGCTGCTCCTTGGAAACCTCTGTACAGGGTCACTATGAGTTGCAATCGGCTCCACAGCACTAACAACAGCAACAACAACAACATATTCATTGTATTATTATATAGTCTATTGCTCCATACAAATTACCCCCCAGCCACAAGCCTTTATTATCTTACACAGTTTTAAGGGCCTGGAAGTGACGTAATCAGGATGGTTTGGCCTCAGAGTCTCTTGTGAGGTAGCAATCAAGCTATTTTCCATGGTACTTTCTCTGGAAACTTGACTGGAATTGGAGAATATGCTTCTAAATCTACTCCCATGTCTGGTGGTGGTTATTGTTAAGTGTCGTTGAGCAGTTCTGACTAATAGTGACACTGTATAGGGTTTCTGAGGAGCAGCTGGTGAGTTTGAACCTCTGAACTTGCGGTTAGCAGTCATGCTTGTCCTACAGCACTGTTTCTTCACCACATGGGCTTCTTTATAGGGCTGCTCCTGACTTCCAGTTACAAATGATCCAGTTACGAGAGAGCAACCAAGAGAAGCTGCAGCATTTTTCAGTCTTGGAATTGTCACATCACTTCTACTGTGACTATAATAAGAACTTGATCTATCATACAGGCCTACCCTGGCATAATGTGGGAGGTGGACTAAACAAAAATGTAAATATCAGGAGTCAGGGATCGTGAAGGTTCTCTTGGAGACTGGCCGTCAAAGGTGCATGTTAGATATTGTTAATAAGGAAAAAGTATTTAATACTTTCAGTAACATTGTTGTTGGTAAGTGTCATTGAGTTGTTTCTGACTCATAGTTATTCTGAGGGTTTTCAAGGAGTGGCTGTTGTATTTGAACTTGACTCTGTGGTTCAAACCAACCTTGAAGTCGAGTGCTTGTCCTACAGTGATTAGGTAATTTGGATTAGCCTTCTTTCTGATAACACTCAGAAAACCTTTACAGAAAATTAAAAATTTATTTGACTATATAAGAGTCGAGGAGTCCTGGTGTGACACTGTGGGTTAATGCATCACACTGCAAAGTCTTTTGAACTATAAGGTCGGTGGTTCAAGCTCACCAGCTGCTCCTTAGAAACCCTATACAGGGTCATTATGGGTTGGAATCAACTTGACAGCACTTAACAACAACAACAATATAAGAGTTGAAGTCCTGGTGTGGCACTGTGGGATAAGGCACTGGACCACAAGGTCAGTTTGAACCATAAGGTCAGTGGTTCAAACTCACCAGCCAATACTTGGAAACCCTATACAGGGTTGCTATGAGTCTAAATCAGTTCAACGGCTCTTAACAAGATGTAAAAGCGTTAGCAAGATAGTAGAAACTTGTTGAGATTCATAGAAAGATGGAGGTCCAGGGAAGTGACCTCAGAGTTTGGGGCCACTATTTATTTGTATAGAGTATTGTCCAACTCTGGAGAGAGAAGATGGTTAGTACTTTGGACAGTTTACTGGGGCCTTAAGGGGTAGAGAATGGAGTCCAAGTCATGCAACTAGGGAATGTCCCTGGATAATTCATTTTGCTTTGGTTGGAGGCCCCAAAGGGCTGTGCCCTAGGGGGGAAAAAAACAAACTGGAAATACAAATCCCTTGCACGAATGGTAGCTCAGCTTTGAATCATACTATTTCCTGAAATTTCATTAAAATGATCCCAGTGTATTATCAGTTACAGGTTTCAAGAACTAGTGGTGCACTCAAGCTCCTAAGAGAAGCCTATGTATGTCCTTTTTAACAGAAGGTAAAATCATGCTGGCACTTAAATGATTTCTACAGTAGTTCTGCAGCTGTTTTCAGCAAACTGTTAAAAATAGTCACGTACATGAAGAGATTGGGCTAAGTGAATAAAAACCTAAAGAAAACAGAAGCAGGTCCTTAAGAGTGACAGATTATAGTTATTAGAATTACTTAATATAAGGAGTCCTGGAGTGGTGCTGTGGGTTAATACGTCAGACTGCAAAGTCATTTGAACTGCAAAGTTCAAGCCCACCAGCTATTCCCTGGAAACGCTATACAGGATCTCTATGAGTCCAAACTGACTCCAAGGCACTAAACAACAATATGTTAAATGGACTCCTGGTGTGGCACTGTAGAATAAGCACTGGTCTGCTAACCACAGGATGGTCATTCAAACCCACCAGCTGCTCCTTGTAAACCCTAAATAAGGTTGCTGTGAGTAGGAACTGACTTGACAGCACTTAACAACAAAATATATTAAATAATAATTTCTAATTTAAAGTGATTTAAAAAATACTGAACAAAATTACCACCCAAGTTTTGGTCCTTCCACCTATCAGGTGGAGTGTTAAAATTAACTTCTTGTTGTTATTGTTGTTGTGTGCCGTGGAGTTGGTTCCAACTCATAGCGAACCTGTACAGGGTTTCCGAGGCTGTAAATCTTTATGAGAGCAGAAAGCCTCATCTTTCTCTCACAGAACAGCCAGTAGTTTCGAACTGCTGACTGTGAGATTAGCAGCCCAATTAGTAACCACTGTGCTACCAGAGCTTCTTGTTAAAATTAACTAGACTTTAAAAAAAATTACATGTGATTGTTAACATTTCAAAGGGTACCACTAGAATAATTGTTGTTATTAAGAGCCATTGAGTAGGTTCCAAATCATAGGGATCCTGTATAGGGTTTCTGGGGAGCAGTTGGTGGGTTTGAACTGCTGACTTTCAGATTAGCAGTCTGGTGCTTATCCTATAGTACCACACCATGATTCTAATTTATTTAATATCCAGAGCAAGTACTGTTGTTGTTAGGTGTCGTCAAGATGGTTTCTATCCATGGCGATCCTGTATAGGGTTTCCAAGGAGCGGCTGGTGAGCCTGAACTCCCGGCCTTGCAGTTCACACTAACTTTGCAGTCCAGCACATTAACCCACAGTGCCATACCAAGACTCCATCCAGAGCAATAGAGAGGGGAAATAGAATTTTAAAAAGAACAAACAAGTACCTTAGTCAATCCAAGGCAGATAAAGAGGGGGAAAAGGCAGCAGCAGCAAGAAAGAGTCACACACACACAAATCACAGAAAAAGTCGGCAAAGTAAGTTCAAATGTATCAATGACTTCAGAAACATGTTAGTTGCCATCAAGTTAATTGCAACTCATGACTTCTGTGTAACAAACAGAACACCATCTTCAGGATAGTTGCTGGTTGGTTCCATTGTTGTGGCTGTTGTGTCAGTCCATCTCTTTGAGGGTTTCCTTCCTTTTCATTGACCTGCTACCAAATGTGGTATTCTTTTCTATTGATTGATGTTTCCTGCTGATGCTTCCAAGAAAAATGAGCAAAAGTCTTGCCTTCCTCACATCCAGTGAGGACTCTGATTGTATTCTTCTTAAGACTGATGCATTCATTTTTCTGGAAGTGCATAGTATATTTAATATTCTGTCTTCTTTTTTCATTGTTCACCTTTCAAATGTGAGCAAGAACTATTTAAATTAAAATGATCAATTAAAAGAGAGCGTTAGTTTGTGTAAAAGTTTAAAATTCCACTTTATGCTATTTATATCAAGCCCCAAAACCAAGCCCACTGCTGTCAAGTAAATTCTGACTTATAGCAACTCTATAGGACAAACTAGAACTGCCCCAACAAGATTTCCAAGCTTGTAAATATTTATAGCAATAGAATGCCACCTGTTCTCCCAGGGAGCGGTAGGTGGGTTCAAACTGCCAACCTACTAGTTAGCAGCCAAGCACTTAACCACTATGCCACCAGGTTCCTCATGCTATTTATGAGTCATATTAAAACATAAAAAGTCTTCATTTGAATATAAAGGGATGGAAAATAGCTACTAGATTCTTCTGTCATTTAAAACAAATC